GATAATAATAGGAAGAACATAAAACATAATTGCATTATGCCTCCAGTATCCCACTGTGTTGGAAGGTAATAATTTACTGTTTCTTCTTGCTCCACTAGTAGATGAAAAAGCTTCTAGATTTAATATGGCAAGGTTTATGTAATTGCCATAAAGATACAGAAGTGTTCACTGCAACAGAGATGGAAGGAATTAGAAGTACAATTGGCTTTTTGCTATCATCCTTGTCTTATATAATTAGCTTAGAGGATAAAATTTCAAGGATCGTTGCCATCCATAAAATTCACTCCCAATTGATATTCAAATCATCGTGATGAGTCTTGCTTTAATTGACTGTTCCTTGAATTCAGGTGCATTTGCTATAGTTCCTGTTAAATATATTGTTGTCTTAAGTTCATTTAGGTAGATTGTCTTGCATTTGGTGATTTACCTGAAAAAGTTTTATTTGAATGTAGGATTCTTGGCACGTAATTAAGCAAGGGCTTGTGGAGAGATCCTTATTTTATACACAGGTTTCCTTTTCCCATCCTTATGAAGACTATTTCCCACAGAATAGGTGTCAGAATTCTTTGCAGCTAAAATTCCTACAAGGAAGCAATGTTTGCAAAGAATAAGATGTTTATTTTTCAGAAAGACTTTCACAAAATGAGATTATGGTGAGTCTTGGCACAATATTGTTATTACTTTTGACTAGACTAATTTTCTCAAATTAGAAGCAACATCACATACTCTGGATGATATTAGTGTTGGTCCATTCAGAAATACCAATTTCTCTACCATCTTTTTTTACTGGCCAAGATATTGTCTGGGGCACTTTAATTAAATTTAGTCTGAATTCAAAGTACACAAAGTGATATACATCACATAAATTTCCTTGTCACTGCAGTTATAAAAATATATATTAACTTTTAATATTCATGAATCATTTCATATGTCACTGGGGTGGAGTTATATATCTTGTTTTGTGTCTGCTGTCTATTACTCTCTTCTTATTTTTTGGGGTGAGGAATGAACTGTATTCTCCATCTTACAGATTCCTAAACATTTTGGTGGAATTGTCAGCTATAAACTTTATCTTGGGAATTAGAAACTCATGAAAGCATTTTATAAAATCTCTTTGCACATATTCAGAGACTACTGATTGCAAGAAAATATTGGTTGTTGAACACGAGTCCTTAGTCAAATACTGTATGCCATTCAGTATTTTATTTCTGATCTATGGAATGAATGTCTACTAGCTCATTTAATTTAAAAGATACTTTGCCTTTATGTTCTTTTATCTCCTTTCCTCCTCAGCTCTGCTCATTTCTACCTTTACACGACCTGTAACATATGTTTTGCCCATTGAATGGTTTGATTCACATTTTTACTATTGATACGTTTGTGATTGTTTCATACTTCACTGAATGGGTGAAATAGAGTGAGTCCCTTCTTCTAGAATAAATAAATAAGATTGTTAAGACTCCTTAAAAACTACATTATAGAAAATCAGAATTGGATTAAATAGCTGCCTATCGTTTTAGGTGCTTTGTTAATCCCATTGTTTGGGGAGTGAGATGAGAAATCTGTGAAGGAATAGAAAACAAGTAAACTTTTTTTTCTCCCTCTCATTTTAAGTATTAATTAGAGTTTAATTACAATTTCATAATTGAAATGTATGTGCAGAATATGTACTTCAATAAATATTTTAATATTCATGCACATATAAATGTATAAATGTTTATTACTTCTTTCAACGGTCAGTTTGGTGTGAGTTGCAGACCTTCCTTAGGCATGAAAGCCAGCTGGGTACCTTTAGGCCATTCAAACTCTTTCATCTCAACACACCTCACAGGGTTGTTGTTGTGGAGAAAAATAGGAATGTTAGGTAGGTTCACAACCTTTAGTGATATTTTAAAAAGTAGAATACAATAATTAATAACATTATTAATATAATTGATCTGGGAATACCAAGGGATAGCAGAATACAAGACAAAGAATTGGGGAAAATCACAAAATATCCAGATTTTGGAAATCAGAATTGAAAGTTTATGGCATAAATCAGCCATGGTGGTCCCAGTGGTTATCAGCACACTAGGTGCCATACCAAAAAATCTTAGATGCCACTTAGAAAATCTATGCATAAAATATTTCCATATGTCAATTACAAAAGGCCACGCTGCTTGAATATGCACATATATTATGCCAATACAACAACCTAAATTCTTGGGAAAAACTCAGCTGTATGAAAATCAACATCAGCTAAAGAACACAGCGATGATTTCACATTATTATGTACAAGATAGATAGATAGATGATAGATAGATAGATAGATGATAGATAGACAGATGGATAGACAGACGGATAGACAGGTGGATAGACAGACAGACACTTCGGGGCAAATGTTTTTTATTCCCCAAATATTTTATATTGACATATATTTCACAAAGAAATATTAACCTATTTGCATTTATTTTGTTTTTCATTTCTGATAGTTATAACAGTATACAAATATTCTTTATCCAAATATATGAAAAAATGGAATACAATCATTTATCATGTAATTATGAAATTAAAATAATCAATATGATAATCTATATCTTATGGAATGTTTTTTGCTAGATTATTCTGTTTGAACAGTACTGGAAAAATATGCTTCAAATTTTTTACTAATTTAATACCTGGATAAACATCAATTATTTTTCACTTGAATATGATATGGCAAACTTAAAGAAACATATGCAAAATATTTGCCTCCTTTTCAATCCTAATTCTATAAAAACAAGAAAGTCCAGTTGCCTCCTGAAAAAGCACCTTTGGGACAACCATGACCTGGATGACTGAGAATCTCTACAGACTTTCTTCTATAAATGTGCCGAACTTTACACATGTAAACGGTAACTTACATTAGTAATGTAGTATCCAGAGGCAATAAACTTGCAATGTATCATTATACATATTGCAGAATTAGATAAGTTTTGACTATCCTAGCTGAAAGATTATGGAAGTCTTTTAGTTACACATTAAATGTAGGAAAAATAAACAGAAATGCTACTAAAACAAACATAAAAACACTGCTGAGACAACACATTCAATTTTAATTTTAATATAAAAAGTGATGCTTGATCTTTGGTAGGACAAAAAGACAAGGCTCTTAGCCCAAGAGTGTATGTTGGGTTTAATAAAAGGTGTTCAATGAGAAGTTGGACAGCTATTTATGGACATACTGCAGCTGGATTTCCTGTTTTAAAGTCCCTAGCATGTGGCTTATAACACTAGCACTTAGACTTATATACTGCTTCACTGTGCTTTTACAGCCATTTCTAAGCAGTTTTACAGAGTCAGCCTATTGCCCCCAACAATCTGAGTACATTTAGGGAAGGTATACACTTATCTTTTCTACCTGTTTGCAAATGTGAGCGAGTGTGAGATCCTTCCGTGCATGCACTTTTGGCGAAAAAAGGGATGGGTTGCCATAGAGCCAGGCACGGGTGGGCGGCAATTTCAGCTACTGATTCGGGTGATCCAGTCCGACCCGGTAGAATACCACCTCTGATCTGGGTACTCATTTTACCCACCTCGGAAGGATGGAAGACTGAGTCAACCTTGAGCCAGTGAGAATTGAACTGCCGAACTTTAGCTAGAAGTCAGCTGAAGTAGCCTGCAGTACTGCACTCTAACCACTGTGCCACCTTGGCTCATGTTACAATTAACATATACATCCAATTTGTTTATGAATATGAAATAGGCTATTTTAGCTTAAGGTTTGAGCCTAGGATGCCCAAGACAAGGCCACCTGCAAGATATATACCACTACCACCAGAAATGGTAGCTGGTTCTTCTTTCTGCTCTTTGGGACTAAGAGCTTAGCCATTTTTCAGGTTGCCCATGGAACAGGTTACTGTCATGGAGACACTCTTGCTCTATCATCTGTCACTCAAATTAGTTCTGTACGTATGCATAGTACCATTCTGGAAGAGTGCTACATTTGTCTCCAAACACATTTCACCTACTTGACAGATCTCAAATATGGAGAGGTAGATGGAGAGATTGTGAAGAGCATTGGAAAACTCCCTCCTCTCTCACCTAGCTCTCTCTCCTCTGCACCTTACCTTTGGAATTGGGTGGCTATAGCAAAATTTAATGAATGAACATATTCCCAGGTAAATAATTGCAATTTTGAGTCAACCTATGAGAAGTGTTTGTGAAAGTGAGTACACAGCTTATAATCAGTTCAGATATGTGTTGATCAATTTTTAAAATATCATATTCTAAAAACGGGAAGGTGAAACAATCTGTTCTTCTGTGGTCTAGATGTAATAATAAGCTTGAGTTGAATAAGTTTTAAATTGATATCATGTCTTTTTTAATGTTTCTTCTCTTATGCTATTTTTCATCAATGCAATGTATGTAGTTTACTTTCATATATTACTGATATAGTCATTCTTTGTTATATTTCATTAATAAAATTAGTGAAAAGATTAAAAACAAGACTCTTCGTTTGATGATGAGGGCATTCCTTAGAAGCCTTTCCGATCACGGCGTAATCCTTCGCGGGCAAGATTCCCTTGCAACTCTTTAACCTTAAGCAGAACTCTGCATATACATTTGCAACTTTTAAAATAAATTCCTGACGAATTAAGGGACATTCACAGGCCGTTCAAGCGCTACTACGTTTAAATAAATCAGTTGTACAAAAATACCGTCTTCATTTGGAAGTCCGTTTGGAAAGGGGAAGCAACTATACGCCGTGTTAGATATTAATGAAGATAGAAACTGCAGGAAGCATTCACTCAGCGGCTTCTCTCGATAGTCCCGCCGAATGGCACTCCCTTCCACCAATCGCTCCAAGGAGAAAGTAGGCGGGTTGATGCATCAGCCGCTCCTGTGACGTAATGGCGCACAGCGGCAGATTTGAACTTATACAGCGCAAGCGCGCTCGATTCGTTCGTGGGGTGTTTTGGGGGTGAGCAGCTCTTCGGATATTCTTCTTGATTCCGAGAAAGGGTTTCCGCGCCGCTGCGATGAAACGCACCGTGCCACGAAGCACTCTGAAGAACCTGGTGAAGAAGCACAAGCCCCAGCTCCGTTTGGGCGGCAACACCGACTTACTAGTGAGTGGGAATGGGGAGGGAAGCTAGAAAGGAGGGAAGTAACTGCTGTCAGTTTCTTGCTTCCCATAGGTTACTTTTAGGGAAGCTCATTGAAAAACTACTTCCTGCCATTCCTATCCGCTCATTTATGAAAGTGCTTTGCCTGAAACGTGAAAAATTTAATTCAAATTTAATGAATCGTCTTTGTGCTCTGTAGTGATGGTGGCTGGTAAACAGTAGTAATCTGGGATTACTTGTGTCATGTATGCACATGTGTCATAGGTGCACAATGGCAGAGAACTGAAGGAGAGCTCTATCCTCTGCACCAATGTTTGAACATTGTAAAAGTTGTCAGAAGCTTCTTTGGCTGTTGTTTGTCTCGCCATGTACATGTATACATCTGAACTAAATACAATACAAATACAATATCAGAGTTGGAAGGGACCTTGGAGGTCTTCTAGTCCAACCCCCTGCCTAGGCAGGAAACCCTATACCGTTTCAGACAAACGGCTATCCAACATCTTAAATACTTCCAGTGTTGGGGCATTCACAACTGTTGAATGTTCCACTGATTAATTTCTCCTCAGTCCTAAGTTGCTTCTTTCCTTGATTAGTTTCCACCCATTGCTTCTTGTTATACCCTCAGGTGTATTGGAAAATAGTTTGACTCCCTCTTCTTTTTGGCACCCCCTGAGATATTGGAACACTGCTATCATATTTCCCCTAGTCCTTCTTTTCATTAGACATACCCAGTTCCTGCAACCGTTCTTCATATGTTTTAGTCTCGAGTCCCCTAATCATCTTTGTTGCTCTTCTTTGCACTCTTTCTAGAGTCTCCACATCTTTTCTACATTATGGCGACCAAAACTGAATGCAGTATTCCAAGTGTGGCCTTACCAAGGCATTATAAAGTGGTATTAACACTTCACGTGATCTTGATTCTATATCTCTGTTTATGCAGCCTAGAACTGTGTTGGCTTTTTTGGCAGCTGCTGCACACTGCTGGCTCATATTAAATGGTTGTCCACTAGGACTCCAAGATCCCTCTCACAATTACTACTATTGAGCAAGATACCACCTATACTGTACTTGTGCATTTTGTTTTTGTTGCCTAAATGTAGAACCTTACTCTTTTCACCATTGAATTTCATTTTATTAGATAGTGCCCAATGTTCAAGTTTGTCAAGATCCTTCTATATCTTTAGCCTATCTTCTGGAGTGTTGGCTATTCCTGCCAGCTTGGTGTCATCTGCAAATTTGATGAGTTCCCCATTTATTCGCTCATCCAAATCATTGATGAAGATGTTGAAGAAAATTGGGCCCAAAACAGAGCCTTGCACTACATACCTCCCTCCATGTAGATGCAGTTCCATTGAGGACTACACGTTGAGTGCGGTTGGTCAGCCAGTTATGAATCCATCTGGTGGTGATGCTGCCTAACCACATTATTCTACTTTATCTAGTAGTAGGTTATGATCTACCTTATCAAATGCCTTACTGAAGTCCAAGTAAACTATATCAACGGCATTCCTCTGGTCCACTAATTTTGTCACTTTGTCAAAGAATGCAATAAGATTAGTCTGGCATGATCTGTTTTTGACAAACCCATGTTGGCTTTTGGCTATTACTTTGTTTACTTCTAGGTGTTCGCTAATTCGTTGCTTGATTATCTTTTCCAGAATCTTTCCTGGTATTGAGGTCAGGCTGATAGGTCTACAGTTTCCTGGATCTATTTTTTTCCCTTTTTTGAAGATAGGAACCACATCAGCTCTTTTCCAGTCATCTGGCAGTACCCCGGTGCTCTGGGATCTCTGAAAGATATAGTTCAGTGGTTCTGAGATCTCGTCTGCCAGTTCCTTCAAAACCCTGGGGTGTAATCCATCCGGTCCTGGTGATTTGAACTCGTCTAGGGTAGACAGGTGCTCACTTACCTTTCTTTTCTTTCTTTCTTTTCATCCTTTAAAACATATTTTATAGATGTTAAATAACATTTGTTGGAATCTCAGACCTGGGGGAAGCCACTAACAATTTAGTTTCATTTTCATTTCATTTCATTTTAATGTATGCCGATTAGTGTACATTCAAAGTGACAAAATTATTCTAAATCTGTTTAAAAAATGCAAATAAGCCCCCCCTTCTTCTCTCAAATTCTCTCATAACAATAAAGTTTCTTACCAGCTGTTGCTTTTGAACATATTTGTTCTGTTGACAAATCAGTTTAAATGGGAAAATGTATGTTTTGATATTTCAAAAAGAAATTTTTGCAATTATTTTTTTCTGGGACATGCATAATATCATAAATGTTGCCACAACATGGGAGAATGGGTTGAGTTTGCATTGTGACATAATTATTTTGATCATCAATGTTTAGAAATGGACACTGATGTATGTTACATTTTTTTTTTTTTGCGCAGCTCTAGTGATTACAGTAACACTCATTCTTCCACAACTTTTGGATAAACAAACTAATCACCATCTCTAGAGATCTAATAAATGTCTGACCACAAAAATGTAAACCATAGTTATTCAGTGCTTTAAGAATTGTAAATCACCTGCAGTCCAATAATGTTGAATGTGTATATATAGTTGCAAACTTGAAAGCTTGATAGACTATGATACATAGTTGACAGGCTGTACAAAGCTTGGTTCACAAATTGTGCAGGCTTCCAATAAGTCAATGTGGAGTACAAGATTGATTTGCATTAGATATCAACTGAAACTATAGTAAGAAATATCGAACTTTATTAGGGTTTTTATATAAAAATAACATCCTTAGTGTTGTAATAATATAATTCACTTATAGTATTGAACATCTTACATATTCTCAGAAGTAGGTCCTATTGATTGCAATGCTTTTATTTAAATGAAAGCTTGTTGCTGATTTAGTACTGCACAATGTTGGGCATGGTTATAATTAGAACAGATCAGGCTGAAGACTGATATCTACTGGATTGGCTCTATTGGATCAGGGTTATCCATAACTAATGTAAAATGCTGTTGTATGTTGTCTACTTGAAAGGAAATGGTTCTTTATGACCATGAAGTAACATTTTATCCAATTTTTGTCTGTCTGTCTGTCTGTCTGTCTGTCTGTCTGTCTATCTATCTATCTATCTATCTATCTATCTATCTATC